CTCTTGTTACCCAGGCTGGAGTGCAATGGCGCAATCTCGGCTCACTGTGACCTCCGCCTCCTGGGTTCAAGCAATTCTCCTGCCTCAGCCTCCTGAGTAGCTGGGACTACAGGCGGGCGCCACCATGGCCAGCTAATTTTTGTATTTTTAGTAGAGACGGGGTTTCACCATGTTGACCAGGATGGTCTCGGTCTCTTGACCTCGTGATCCACCCACCTTGGCCTCCCAAAGTGCTGGGATTATAGACATGAGCCACTGCGCCCAGCCTATTATTTTCTATTTTCAATTCATGAGCATTTTGTCTCAGTAAGTTTTGCATTAAAAAATTAGGCTTTAGAAATTGGCTGGATTTTGAAACTCATTACAAAGCAACAGTAATTATACAGTATAGTATTGTAAAAAATAGAACATATATATAAATGGAACACAATAGAGAGCTCGGTTATAAAACTATACTTAGTTAGTGGCAGTAAAAAATGTGGGGAAAAGCATGGGGGAAAGAATTTAAAATAAAGCCCATTGGCACAAATGGCATCCCTATGGAAAAAATAGAATGAGATTTTAATCTTACTCCATATACAAAAATAAATTCCATGTGGATGAAATAGCTACATGAAAAAATAAAACTGAAGAAAATGTAGGAGAATATGCTTATGACATTTCGGTAGGGAAGACACCATGGTTAAAAGAAGATATTTACAATATATATATTATGGCCCAAAGGTTAATATTAAGAATACATAATTAGTAAGAAAAAGGCACTACAATAGACTAATGAGTAAAAGAAATGAACTGAGAGTTTAGAGAAAAGGAAACCAGAATGTCTAGTAACCATCTGAGAACATGCTCATATTAGCAAAAATTAAAATTTCTGACAGTATGAATAGTTGGAAGGACATTGAGGAAATGGGAATTCACATACTCTGTGGATACACATAACTGCTGCAGCTCATCACTGTGGGGAGGAGAACATTGAGACACATTTAGAAAGCTGAAAATGCCAGCAAATGCACCTGTCACACCATATTTATAATAATGAAAAACTAGAAAGCACCTAAATGTCCATCCTTGGAGAACAGATAAAATTTAGTGTAGTTATACAATGAAATGCTGTATTACATTAAATGGGATGTATACCAAGAAGCTGTATCTCAAAAACAATGGTAACAGAGGAAGCAAACTGTAGAATGACACTTAGAATACAAAACTATTTATGTAAAAAAATTTTAAATGCACCCAGTACTTGTCCATGGAACAAATGCATGTGAAACATAAGGAAAATAGACTGTAAAGATAGCACATTAAAATTATGATACCAGTTACTTCTAAGTGGAAGCAGGAAATGGATCTTGGGGATGGGGCTTTATCAGTAATAATTTATTTTCTCTTATTCTAGAAATAGACTTGAAGCAGATATGTCAAAAAGTTAGCAGTTGTCATTTCTAGGTAGTGGGGTGCACAGATGTATCATATTATTATTTTTATGTTCCTGTAATTTAAAATTACCCAAAATCATGGGTAATTTTGGGTATTACCCATGATGGGGCATGGCTAGATAGAAAGTCTTGGAGGGAAAGAGTGTGTATCCACATAAGCTTTAATGTTTAACTTCTTGTTTATTTGGGGGTACATAAACAAAGGAGAGTTGGCAGCACTGCAAATCCTTATGTTTGCCAGCACAGAATATGATTGTGTACAACTTAATCAATGCTCCTGAAGGAGATAGAAGACGTGTGGCAGAATTAAGTATACATTCATAATGACAATCATTATGAATAAGGAACTTTTTTGTGTATAGACACTAACTTTAGAATTTGGCACATTTGTTTGACAGCGTTTCATTAAACATCTTTCATCTCGGAGCACTTTGTTCACTTTACATAATTTCCTGGATAAAAGTGTCATAGAAGGTAAGATGATTCTTTGATGGAAATATTTCCTATGGCAAGAAGGGAAAAGTTTTGAAAATCATGCCTAGGTAAAAAATGTTCTAAATTATGAAGGCTGTGATGTACTATACATTTTAAGAAGGTAAATAATCTCCAAATGCATTGATACAACATATATTTGAGAGCTTACTAAGAATAACAGAATATGCCATATGCTAGAGACAGAAAAGGTCTTTACTCAGTGAAGCCTTGTCCAGCCTATTAAAAATTGCAGCACCTTTATACCAATTCTCTGCCTGGGCTTATTTTTTCCACTTCTTGCTGGCTGTCTCTGTGTTCCTTTTCTTTTGCATACTTGCCATTTCCCATTGAAATGTAAGCTGTATGAGGATAGGAATATTTGTCTGTTTTGTTCACTGCTGAACTTCCAGCACCTAGGACATGGCCTGGCTTATAGTACGCACTCAGTGATTGTTTAATGAATGAATAAATTGAAGGGGAATCAACATACATTTGGAGGTTGAGTAGAGAGTAGTTGAGTTTCTACCATGGCCTTTTTTCTCCTTTTTCTTTATGAAGTAGGTGGCAGGTCACTTGCTGAGTGGAGGGAGTGGGGAGGAGGCATGGTGGCAGTGGGATGAGGAGATTAAGGAGAATGCTAACAATTTATAATAGTTTCTGTGAAAATGTCAAAGGAACTGATGTGGTTCAACTATTTCATCTGTTCAGGAATGCCACCATCAAGACCCCATTAAGGGATGATATCAAGGCTCTAAGGAAATAAAAATTAACCTTTAACAGAAAGCTTGAAGAATGTTGGAATAGGTGATTAAATAAAGGCCATTCTAGCTTTTGTGCTTCAAAGATATTGTTGAGGTATACAGGTGAATGTGGAATAAGTCTGCATTTATTGACAGATTGTAAAAAGCCACTATTGGTTGAACTGAAAATAATCAAAATATCTCATTTTTAGGCTATACTATGTCAGCCTTCATCAGACGATACAGCAAGTACTTGAATGAAAAGTCACTCGCATATAGAATGATCTTATCTGACATCACAAAAACCAAGAGAGGGTCAGTAAATATCATTAGTTTGTGAGCAAGAAGTACTGAAACTTACATGTGGTCTGCTTTGTAGTTTGTCAAAAACAGCCCTATTTCGAGATGCTGATGTCACAGTGCTTCTCAAACTCTTAATTATTGAGGTTCATGAATTTCTTTTATCTTTTATAGGATAGAAGGTGTGATAAGAACTATGAATACTGAAGAGCTTCTAAACACACTTCCAGTTATTCAAACCCAGTTTAATGCTCTTCTTAGTTTTAACGTAAGAGATTTATAAATTTTGTTTAAAACTATAGTAAATAGCATCCTGTAACTATAGGTGGGAGAAAGAATTTTCTAACTGTGGTGTTAATTGGTTACTCTTTTATTTAATTTTCAGGCAAATCCTGATGAACTAACTAATGGTATAATACATGCTGCTTTTATGCTCCTCTTTAAAGATTCTCTTCGTCTGTTTGCAGCTTATAATGAAGGGATCCTTAATCTGCTAGGTAGGATAAAGAATAAACTTTTTAAAAGATTACTTTTTAAAGGATAAAATGGTAAAATAATTTATTTGTAAGAATCTTTTATCTCTACATTGAAACTCACATTTGCTTTAGATTCAAAATAGAAAATCTTTGCAGGGTCATATATATTTTTAAATACAGATATTATATCGCTTTACTGGTTAAACATTATTTGGCTAATTAGCCACAAAACTTTTCCATTTTTATGCAAGTGATAACTAATATTTCTGGGAAATTCATCAGGGAATCAACCTAGGTTTCCATGTTTATTCGTTATATGTTAATAAGGCCCATTCCCACCAACGTCAAGTAACACAGTTTTGACTTTCCTAAGAAGGTAAAGCCTATAACATAAGTAATTGTTATTGATGATATACAGGCATATATTTTTGGACTTTTCAGGAAATTGCTGTCATCATTTAGCCCTAATGAATGATTCATTTAGCTGCAATTATTCTCTAAACTTCATTAATGGGAATTTGATAGCTTTTCTTATACTGAAGAAATACATAGTATTATACATTTGTACGGTTATAAGAGAGTAGGAAACACAGCCCCTTCCCTCAAAGGGTTGCAGAGCTTTATATTAATCAATCAAAAAGACTATAGACTAGAAGTTGTTGAAATTAAAATCTAAACTGTCTGTGTATGCTATTAAATTCCATATACCCAGCATCAATACTTGATATACAGTAGTTTACTCCATAAAAATTTGTTGATCATGAGGATTGAGTAGTGCTATTTCTTGTTATTAAAACAGAAAATAACTTGATTAAAATTATAATTCTTTTGAACCAGTTAAATTCATATCTAGAATTAAAATACAATAATCAGAATGGAGTAAAACTTGAAAATTACTAAGCTATTGGCTCCTTTTGGTGATATGTTTCTATTTTTAGGCAAATATTTTGACATGAGGAAGAACCAATGCAGGGAAAGTTTGGATATTTACATCAAGTTCCTTCAAGGAAGAACCAAATTGATACAGTTTCTGAACGTTGCAGAGGTACAGAAATCCATTTCTACTTAAGGTGTTTCTTTTTTTGCATTAATTTAGTATCAGTTGAGACTCTACGTCTTTCTTCCACCACCATCACCACACAAACACACAGAAATTGATAGCTGTTTTAACTACTTTGTAAACAGTAAAAACTAAAATTAAGTACTTCAAATGTACTATCCAATGCACTTGCACTGAAAAGCAATCTTACAAGGACTTCTGTTTGCAGCCATAAAGATAACCAGTACCAAGCTTACCCTCCCACCAGAAACGATTCTAAAAGTAGACCAAAATATATATGACATAAGTCTTTCTAGGTAATGAACAATAGGTAGGTTTGTGGTCAGTGAGATAAAGACTTGAGGTGAGCCCATGTTCTCCCTGACATTCAGAGGAGCCCAGTCAGGATAAATACAAAGAGAACCACACCGAGGTAAGTGATAGTCAAACTTCTGAAAACCAGAGAGAACAAAGACATATTACCCATGGGAGAATGACAATATGAGTAATGGCTGACTTCTGAGTACTTGAAAAAATTAGAACACATTTGTATGACATCCAAAATGCAGCTTAGTTCTTCTCAAATCAGCAAAGACTCAATATCTGGCATGTCTTTTAAAAAGTCTATCCTTAGGATAAATATAAGGGTGTACTTAAGCGTGTGAGGCATACTTTAACCTGACATGGTACCAGCCCAGAAAGACATCATAGTCTTGGGGTATTTTCTGTTTCATGCACACAATGATCAGTTACATTTTTGTTGTTGCCACTCCCTTCTGTAATATGTACTTTCCTCCCTACTTTTTTGCAAATCCAGCAAGTTGGAATTGACCAACGCAACATTCCATATATTACTCAGGTCAGTGTATCTCTCCTATGTACTTAAGTGACATGTTTGTCTTTGTTTATGTGTTTATCATATTATCATTATCTGAGACTCTCCATCTTTTGCTATATGCTTATGTGTGTGCATTTTCATTTCTCCATAAGTAACATATACATGTGTGCTTATTATGTGTGTGTATAACAACTAGACTATGCTTTTAAGATGATCAGTAGAAACAGCAGGGTATTTGGATTAATGAACTTAGTTTTGAGGACTGCCTTGTCTCCCCTTCAGATATATGGTCTCAAGCAACTCATTTCCATTCTCTGTTTCTCATTTCTGCAACTGCAAAATGGGTATGATGCAGTAGCTAGCTCATAGCAGTGTTGTAAGAATCAAACGAGCTCAGGCTTTTTACTCCTCAGCAACTAGTCCTCAGGGATTCCCTCATGGACATAGGTATGATCCAACAAAGAAAGCTCAGAGGTTTCTGGAAAATCTGGAGACTCAGGACTTTCACAGCCATCCCCCAGTTGTCCCTGTCCTAGATATCAGGGACTGGTGTGGTAGACCTGCCTTGGTTGGGACTAGAAGAATGAAGGATTATCTGAGATAGCACATGTGGAATGCTTGGACAGTGCCTGGTTCATGTGGCAGCCATGCGTATGTGAAGAAACTTGTGAAGAGAGAGAAGATGAAGATGTAGGAGAGAGAGGATGGTTGCAGATGCAAAAAACGTTAGGTTTAGTGGTATAGAAGGAAGGAGCTTTTGGCTGATGGCTTATAAATCTTTGAAGGAAAGAAATATGTTCTCTCAAGTAAACACATCACAAATATTTCTTAATGTAGTGACAAGTACAAAGGGAGCTTGCATGTAGCCCTGAAATCCCGCAAAGTGGTCCATGATGGGAACCACTGTTGGGTGAAATAGTGCATGGCTTCCTGAATGAGAAGTCAGATGACCAGCGGTGGGAAGAAAGAGACAATGAGAATGTTTGGGTTAGTAGGGGAGAAGATAGGGTTTCATTGCCTCTTGGCAACATAACCAGTGGATTTCAATCAATATTCATTCGTAAACATTCTCGACTCCTTTTCAGTTACAATGAATGAGACACAATCTTGGTCCCTGAGTTCCCAAAAAAGACTGAACAAAAACTACACATGAAGCATCACTAGATATCTATCATGATGTAGTCCTCTGATTTTTCTCTACATTGCCTTTCTTCCTTGAGGGAGGTGGTGGGGACAGCAAGGGGAGCTTGCCATTGTCAAGATGCAGATGAGCATTAACTGACCAGCACCTGTGGCTTGAGCTCTAAGGGACATTTGACAGGAGGAGTCCTTGAATCGAGGGCCACATTTCCCATCAGTCCACCCTCCTCCTTACCTCTGCTCTGGTCTTCCTGAAATCAAAACTGAAGTAGATGGCTGCAGGAGAGTCTGCAAAAGGCAAGTGGGGATCTTGGTAAACACTCGTGCAGATTCATTCCTCTGTAAATCAACCCTTTTCACTGGAAGAGCTTCCTTATCAGTACGCTGGGCCCTGGTCCTCAGCCAGTACAGAGAGTCATTTGTCAAGGCCTTCAGTTGGCAGCAGTGCCCCCGGACTACGTGCTTTCTTGGGCGTCCCAGAAACCCTGGAATGGAGTGAAATGCAGGGCTACGTGGGAGAGCAGGGAGACGAGAATTAAGTCAGCCCCGCCTTTGCCCAACTCAGTGGGTCTCCTTGAGAGAAGTCTGCAGTTTCAAGGAGCCTTTTCAGCCAGCCTGCTGCGAGATCCCGTGAAAGTCTTCCTCTGTGACTGTAGATTGGCCAGTCTCTCCTTGTGCATCCAACAGTTGTTACTACACTTTATGTGAATCAAGGCAAAATTGCTAGGTTTAAACTGCTGGCCATTTTAGAGATCCCTTCCAGATTTTACTCTCCTTAAGGGGAAACTTCCCTCCTTTCCTCAGTTAATCCTTTCTGCCTTGGCTCTGACATGGTCTGGGGACCACAGAGCCTCCTCCTGAGAGTCGCTGTCTGGTGTGTCTGTCTGTGTCCGTCCCTCTCCTTTCCACCATTCCCTGTGGTTCCTGTTGGCCGTGGCTCCCATAAACGCACGTAGCAGGGTCTGCTTTGTCTGCAACGTGATGCGTTTTTATTTTTCACCAAAACTCGCAGTCCAAACATAACATTTCCGAGCCACGCTCTTTGTCAGAGCTCTAGGGGCACAACCCTGGGGACCTGCTAGAAGGTGCCACCGTAACGTGTGCCTAGATGTGTTTTTCCTCAGTTAGCACAGCGTTCCTGTGGTTCTGGTGGCTGGAGGGTGACTGTGTGCCTCATGAAGGGGGTCCTTACTGCGTCGCATCTACTCTTTTCACGGAAAGCAACTTGTCGAATGTTTTCAGTGTTTCTAAGCGATTTTCTGCCGATCTTGTCTGCAAAGATTGTGTGGCAGCGTTTCCACAAATTTATAGCTGGCAGTGAATTGTCTCAAAGCAAATCAGACAGAATAAGATGTTTCCAACATTGTTCAAATACTGACAACTTTTGTTATTTATCTCTCAGGATTGTTCCTTAGGTCTGCCCACACCTCTGTAAGTAGTTCATTAAACACTTCCTCATGCCAGCTCAGCAGTTTATATCACCACCATATTTGCTTCTCTTTCTGTGGACCCTTCTGATCCTTGATACTTTCTCCCTCAACTGTCCTTTGCAATCCAACACTGAGTCCTAACCACTTTGTCTGCACTTTAGCTTCAACTTCCCTCCTCTCTCACCTTCCAGTCCGTCTTCATATACTCTGCCCCCTGTTGTTTGTTTTACAAAGTGCATCCAGATTGCAGATCTGATAACATCCAAAACAGAGATCCGGTCATTTCATCTCTCACTTAAAAGACTTCGAAGTTCTCCCGGGATTCTAGGATAAAGTGTAAACTCCTCAACATTGCTTTTAATTGGTCCTGCATTGTCAAATCCTTGCCTACCCTCCAGCTTTATCTCCCTTATGCTCCCCTCTGCTCTCTTTGCTCTAGCAACAGGGCCTTTGCACATGTTATTCCTCTGTCTACAATGCTCTTTCTTCCTATACTGACCTCCTTATTCCTCAGCTATCCTTCAGATCTCAGCTCAACTATTTCTTTAGGAGGGCTTGCTTCCCTGACTTCCCTGACTTGGTTAGATTCCCCTGCTTCAACACTGAGTATTGTGTACCTCTCTGTCATGCTACTGTTTACAACTTAAAATGACTTTGCATTTATTTGTGTGATTGTTTGATATATCTTCCCCTGACCTGTAGACTGTAATCTTATGAAGCTTGGGATCAAGTTGTTTGTGCCTATGGTTATATCCCCAGTTCTTATGGTAAATTATCATAAATATTTCTCGAACAAAGAATGAGTGAATGGTTCAGGGGAGATGGTGGAATATAGAATCCTGGTGGGGAACTGACCTTATGTAAGGGGAAGTCTACTCTTTCTATTTTTTTCCCCCATAGGTTTTTGGGGAAGAGGTAGTATTTGCTTACATGAGTAAGTTCTTCAGTGAACTTGTGATTTGTGAGATTTTAGTGCACCCATCATCCAAGCAGTATACACTGAACCCAATTTGTAGTCTTTTATCCCTCACTCCCTTCCCACCCTTTCCCTCTGAGTCCCCCAAATCCCTTGTGTCATTCTTATGCCTTTGCATCCTCATAGCTTAGCTTGCACTTATGAGTGAGAACATACACTGTTTGGTTTTCCATTCCTGAGTTACTTCATTTAGAATAATAGTGTCCAGTCCCATCCAGGTCACTGCAAATGCTGTTAATTTAATCCTTTTTATGGCTAACTAGTATTCCGTCATATATCTATACCACAGTTTCCTTGTCTGCTCCTTGATTGATGGGCATTTGGGTTGGTTCCACATTTTTGCAGTTGCGAATTGTGCTGCTATTAACATGCATGAGCAAGTATCTTTTTTGTATAATGACTTCTTTTCCTCTGGGTAGACACCCAGTAGTGGGATTGCTGGATCAGATGGTAATTCTACTTTTAGTTCTCTAAGGAATCTCCACACCGTTTTCCATAGTGGTGGTACCAGCTTACATTCCCACCAGCAGTGTAGAAGTGTACCCTTTTCACCACATCCATACCAAATCTATTATTTTTTCTTATTTTTTTGATTATGGCCATTCTTACAAGACTAAGGTGGTATTGCATTGTGGTTTTGATTTGCATTTCGCTGATCACTAGTGATGTTGAACATTTTTCCATATGTTTGTTGTCCACTTGTATACCTTCTTCTGAGAATTGTCTATTCATGTCCCTAAACCACTTTTTGATGGGATTGTTTTTTATTTTCCTAGCCAATTCATTTGAGTTCATCGTAGATTCTGGATATTAGTCCTTTGTCAAATGTATAGATTGTGAAGATTTTCTCCCACTCTGTGGATTGTCTGTTTACTCTGCTGACTGTTCCTTTGCTGTGCGAAAGCTCTTTCATTTGATTATTAGGTATATTCCTAAGTATTTTATTTTTTTGTAGCTATTGTAGAAGGAATTGAGTTCTTGATTTGATACTCAGCTTGGTCACTGTTGGTGTATGAGAGAGCTACTGATTTATGTACATTAATTTTTTATCCTGAAACTTTGCTGATTCCTTTTATCAGTCCTAGGAGCTTTTTGGAGGACTTTTAAGGGTTTTCTAGGTATACCATAGTATCATCAGCAGACAGCAACAGTTTGACTTCCTCTTTATTGATTTGGATGCTCTTTATTTCTTTCTCTTGTCTGATTGCTCTGGCTAGGACTTCCAGTACTATGTTGAATAGAAGTGGTGAGAGTGGACATCCTTGATGTCTTCCAGTTCCCAGAGGGAATGCTTTCAACTTTTCCCTATTCAGTATCATGTTGGCTGTGGGTTTTTCATATATGGCTTTTATTACATTGAGGTATGTCCCTTGTTTGCCAATTTTGCTGAGGGTTTTTATCATAAAGGGATTCCGGATTTTGTCAAATGATTTTTCTTCATTTTTGTTTTTAATTTTGTTTATGTG